TCCGAAGAAGTGGGCTGTAGCCCACGAAAGCTTATGCTCTAATAAATTTGCTAGTCTCTAAGGTGCCACAAGTACTCCTGTTCTTTTTGCGGATACAGACTAACATGGCTGCTACTCTGAAACCTGTCCTAAATCAATAATGCATCCTTGGGCTGCCTTCAACAGATTTAAAATGTGGTGGTGGTGTTGTTACTGTTCTATTCTATCACCACCTTTTAAATTCTCTAGTCAATTTATTTACCTTTGGATCCTGGAGAATTTGTAGAAATTTTGGAGATTCTTTGACCTGGAAGGGTTCCCCTGCTCTCCTCAGATGGCACAATCTTCAGGGAGAAGAGCCCGTTTCAATTTGCAGAACCATCCAAGGACCTGTGGTATATGAGGTATCTTGAAATCCTTCATGCTATCTGTATTCTTGGCAGGGGCCATGTATAATATTAAATAAAAAAATCCTGTAGTCATGGAAGCATAGTTTACATCAGATTTCTATTTGCATGCTTTCATCCATATACATAAAAATATTTCATGTACCAAGTTAAATAATGCACAATACTTAAACTATGCTTACTTTTTATCCTTTGGTTATTGTAATTACAAGTCATTTTGTGAAGGATTTTCTATTTTTAAGAAATCACACTTTTGTACTTGATCCAGCTAACAGGATTTTCTTACATTACTTCATAAAGAGACCATCTTTAAACTTCTAATGTTATTTCTTATTCATTAGTACATATGCCTGTAGGGTATGTTCATAAATGGGTTAAAGTTACAAAGTTATGCTTATAAAAGCTCATGGTAATTTGGAGTATCAGGAGGATTTATTAATTTTGAAATCTTAAAAGAGCAAAAGCTAAAATGAGATTGGATTAAGTATATTCTTGCATGCAGTTATTCTAAACACCCTTAAGGACCGCAGACTAACTTACAGAGGACATTATGCAAATATGAATATATCTCTAAGTGCCTCATAGGCTTGCTAATGTAATATTTTACATGGTTAGTTAAGTACATCAAGTAAAAGGTTTGACCTTGGTATACTGTAAAAGGTACTCATCCCACAACACCCAATTGTTTTCAGTGCCACTGTGAAACGTATCGCTGAAACGTGCAAACAATTTTGTGCATAAATCTCATTAAATATGATTCAGGCAGCCAAGCAGCTGTCCACAATGCCCAGACTCTTAGAAGACTGAAGATCTGCTTTATAATTTATCTTTATCGCGATGCTGTTTGCATTTATTGCCAGCACCAGGCGGTGGCTATGTGATGAGATGACTGTTTTTATGATGTCCAGTAGTTTCTGGGCTTTCTTTCTTGCCAGGTTACGATGCCCTTAAGTCAAACACTGTTTGGGGAAGGGACGTGAGCTGGAGTTTGTCTCAGTGCAGACTTTGGCCAAATACTTGGATTTACTGCCTGTTACATTGTACTCAATAAGCCTGACTTTAGGGACTGTAATGTTACACTTTCCTATTTTTATCTCCTCCTGCCTCCACCCCATTTTATATTTTTTTCTGTTGAGATGGCAATGAAACAGAATAGAAAGGTGGTTTGCTAAATATGGCGCATTATCTTTTCTGTGTGTCTGTTTGTCTGAAGGGGAGATTGGTTGATGTGGCACCTGCTGATTACTTCAGGGTAAATCCTTGTTTGTTCTGTTTAGCATTTCTGTGGTTATCACTAACTGAACTGGAGGTAGAAAGTCTATAGATGGACAGTGATTTGCATGTGGTCTATAGTATGAATTAGATGGAAACATAGATATTCACTCCTGCACACCAAGATATCAAAACCCTTTAAAAATCTGTATCGGATCCAATAGTTCCTGTGGGGCTCAATAAGTAATGAGTATAATCTCTCTCAAAGCCACTCCAAAGTGACCCAACTGCTCCAAAAGTATTATGGAACATTATATTACTTAGACTAGGAATACTCTCTTGAGATTGTCTTTCTTCCATAGGGGTTGTAGGAGCAATCGAACAGCTAGGAATATAACAAAGTGAATTAAATAGTGCACTTTCAGATGTAAAGGTGCAAGAGGACGATGCTGAGTTTTGCACTATTATTATGAAAGGCTAATGGTCTATAGCTGCCAGCCCCATCCTTTCTATTGTAATTTGTGGATTTGACCTCTTACCCCTGTTTTAGGCAAGTTTTATATCCTGTGTCGTGCAGGAAGTCAGACTATGATCACAATGGTCCCTTCTGGCCTTGGAAACTAGGAATCTATGAAAACGTAGCTGGTTCTCGGGCACTTGAGCTATATATTTATTGCCACTGTACACTATTGCTGTGTATGAAAGGGAGCTAGATGAATCACTTGATAAGCACTAACACAAACAGCAAAGGAGTCAGTATTGATATGCACATATCTTGTACATATACACACACACACACTGCACAGTACAACTGCACATAAGACAAGTAGAATACCTATTTCCAAATAAGGCTAATTTTATACTTTTATACTGCCTACTTTTCTTCAGTCTTCTCACAAAAAATAGCATGTGACCGGACACCTAGTGAAGTTAACACAGACAATAAAGGGGAAGGGATGCAGATTAGGATAAGTAAAGAATAGGTCAGAGATCTTATGACCAATTTGAATGAATTCAAATCAGCGGTGCCGGACGCTATTCACCCCAGGGTATTGAAAGAATTAGCAGAATAAATCTTGGAGCCACTGGAAATAATATTTACAAACTCATGGATGATAGGAGAGGTCCCAGAAGACTGGAGAAAGGTGAATGTAGTGCCCATTTTTAAAGAGGCCGGGGGCTGGGAGGGAGAGGAGATACAGGGGAACTATAGACCAGTCAGCCTGACTTTGATACGTAAGAATGGCCATACTGGGTCAGACCAAAGGTCCATCAAGCCCAGTATCCTGTCCTCTGACAGTGGCCAATGGCAGGTGCCCCAAAGGGAATGAACAGACAGGTTATCATCAAGTGATCCATGCCCTGTCACCCAATCCCAGCTTCTGGCAAACAGAGGCTAGGGACACCATTTCTGCCCATCCTGGCTAATAGCCATTGATGGACCTATCTTCCATGAATCTATCTAGCTCCCTTTTGAACCCCGTTATAGAATTGGCCTTTACAACACCTTCTGGCAAGGAGTTCCAGAGGTTGACAGTGCGTTGCATCATAGGAATCTTGTGTTTGTTTTAAACCTGCTACCTATTAATTTCATTTGGTGGCCCCTTGTTCTTGTATTATGAGAAGGAGTAAATAACACTTCCTCATTTACTTTCTCTATACCACTCATGATTTTATAGACCTCTATCATATCCCCCCTTAGTGGCCTCTTTTCCAAGATGAAATGTCCCGGTCTTATTAATCTTGCCTCATACGGAAGCCATTCCGTACCCCTAATCATTTTTGTTGCCCTTTTCTGAACCTTTTCCAATTCCAATATATCTTTTTTGAGATGGGGCGACCACATCTGCATGCAGTATTCAAGATGTGGGCGTACCATGGATTTATATAGCGGCAATATGATATTTTC